GATCTCGGGTCCTCCATCAGCAATCCTCCCTCCTCCTCCTTTGTTTCAGTGGTAGAGTAGGGCCTGTCAGCACCTTCTCCTTCCATCTCTCCTCCAGGCTCTGCTTTTGTATCAGGGACCGGAGCAAGCTTCGCCTTTCTTCTTTCTGCAATGGTGGCAAGGTTCTTTGTTAAACTAGAGAGTCAGGAAAGACAACAGTCCTCAGCTGGTGATCAGCAAGCAGGGTCTGCTTCTGAATAAATCCATCAGCTGAACATGCAGGAGCCACTGGTTGTTCCCTGTTGAACAGCTACCACTAGCAGTGACACCATCCTCCCCAGCACAGCCGCATTCCCTCTGCAAGGCCCCTGCAGTCAGTACCAGAACAATTAAGAAATCACTGTATTGAGGTACTGACCTATCCCTATCCTACCTCCAGCTATCATGCTACTGCCCGAAGCAACATGCTCTGGGATGCACAACTGCCTGTCCAAATGCTCGAGGACCTCCCCAAGATGTGCAGTGACATTACAGTGGCACTTCCCAGCTTTCACAGCCTTCTGACTGGCTGTGTGACCTCTACCACACAGCTGAGTGCTGCATCCAGGAAGGCATGGGAAACTCCCTTTCTACCTTCAACAGTTTTATCCAGTCCTTAAAAGCTGTGAAAAGGTTGCTCACATCTGAGCCAGGCACCAATGCTGATCTCTTCCTTCCGCAGACCTCTTCAGATTCCTTGAGCTTTAAAGACTGTCTGCCCACAAAGGGCCAGGGCAAAGTCAGGCTTCTCAAGGCTCAATTATTGCCCATTGGGGAATGCCAACGCATTGTGAGTATTTAAGCTCAAGATGAGGGAAATTTTAACTATAGCCTAGCCTCTTCCATCCACCTCTCTACCTATCTATGCATTTGAATATACACATTTGCCTTCACAAGTGGGGGTGTCTACATATTTCAGTGGATCCAAATATTTGTGTGTATGTGTATGTATATATGTATGTATAAATATTGTGTACGTGTATATGTTTTGTGTTTATACATGCATACTTTGATTTAGGGTAACTTGTAGTAAATTAATGTGAATCCTGATATTCTTGAATCTGTAATTAAGTCACTGTTTTAATTATAACATTCTATCAAATCACCTTGTTAATCTTTAAAATTGTCAATCATTAAGTGCTGCTAAAATTCAACCTTTTGATCTACCTCAAGCAATTAATAAATCTTGAACTGCTGGTAAATCATAACCACGTCAAATATTTCCTCCGTGACACAGCGCAAAGGCTGTCTATGCTCAATGACTGCAGGTTGTTTTGTACCTGAAGCAGGCACCCTTTGCAGTATTGGTCACATCCAATTTACTATCATGCCATTACCTGAAGAGTTTAACTCTGCCCTGAGCTTCTCCTGCTCTTCAGTGACTCTGTTGACAAGGGTCGGCCTGTACACGTTTACTTGGTGGAACTTCCTGGTCCCCCAGACAGAAAGCGTATCTACCTGGTAAAGCACTACAACTCCTTCCACCACTTTTAATCTTTGCCAGAAGCAGGGACAAAGCTTTTGGATCACCAGAACAGATGCTTTGGATGTTTTCCCTACAGCATTTAAGAGCTAGAGATCCTGCGTTTGTTCCCCGGCCATTCTGGATTGCAGAGGGATTTGATAAGAATTGATCCTGTCAGGACTACAACAGGCTGATTCTGAGTTAGTGTATTCTTTTAGGCTCATAATTCTTCTTATCAACAAACCAAGAGCAATTCTGGTGGCCCAGGTCATTTTCTCTTTAAGAAAATAAAAGGATTAGTAAATATTTCCCCCAGTGTAACTGCATTAATTGTGTACTTGATTCTGCTGCTGTTCATAGAGACAGAATTAGCGTGTTATCAAACATAAATTCAGGGAGTGAATTCTAAACCTAACAATAAGCTGAAGATAGGAAATTCTGGTGCAAGAGGAACTAGACGGGTCTTTGTAATACACCATCCCATAAAAATGGCACCAGTTCATTGGCAAAACAAACTAGTTCAACTCTGGAGATCTGAGCATGGAGGGGGTGTGTGCGTAGGAGGTGCCAGCAACTGACTCCCTTCTCCCTCCGTCCCCCACCAGGCACTGCAAAGCGAGGAAAACCCCGTCTCTGGCCAGCAACACAAGGGAAGCTGGAGCCGAGCACAGCCCAGAGCTCCCCGCGCACCAGCGGGCACCCGCAGCCCCCCGTCAGGGCGCCAGGGCCGGGCCCCCCGCCCGGCATCCCCCAGCTCAGCCCACATCGCACCCTCCTACCTGAATCCTCGTCCCCAGCGCCGGGAGCCAGCGCGGCCCCACGCTCGCTGCGAGAACCCGGAGCCTCGTCCCCCCAAAAAAACGGCGCAGCACTCCGTGCTTCCCAGCCGCAAACTCTGCAGTGAGCCTGTCAGAGCCCACCGAGGGGGAGGTGAGGAGGATGGGGCGGGATCGTGAATGTTAAGGCCAAGCGATGAGCTTTTGCCACATAACCTTCCTCCCAGCTCCACTTTTATTTTTCGGGAAACAAGCTGTGATGCTGGAGAGGTGCGCCAGCTCAGAGGCTGGGGGGAGGGAAGGGGGAAGCCACAAACGCTTTTAAAAAAAAAAAAAAAAAAAAAAAAATAGAAACAGCTACCCCACTCTGCACAGAGACTTTTGAAAATAAAATCTGGGAACGCGAGGGCAGCGCGGCCCAGCAGGCCCGGGCCGAACCATACCCCGGCGGCAGGGTGGGCGCGGGCGGCCTCAGCAGCAGGCCCCGCTCCCTGTCCCCGGCAGCCCGGAGCTCTGCTGGCTGCTGCTCCCGCCTGGGGGAACCGGGGTGGGACCGGGGTAGGGCCGGGCCCGGGCCCGGGGTAGAGGTAGGGGTAGGGCCGGGCCCGGGCCCGGGGGTCCCGGGAGGAGCCCGCAGGCCGCGGCCCCGGCCCCGGCCCACAGCGGCACCGCCCGGGGCGGAGGCGGTGCCGGCCCGTGGGCGGAGCCTATATGCAAATGAAGCGCGGCTCCTTCCCCACAGACCGCCAAGCCCCGCCTCTCCCGAGCCAATATGCAAACGAGCCGGGCGAGCGGGCCAATGGCGTGGCGGGTGGGCCGGGGGAATGCAAATGAGCCCGTTAGGGGAGGGCCAGGCGGGGGGGCTGCGTGCGGCCGGGGAGACCGGGGGCACCGGGACTGGGAGGGCGCCGGTATGGCCGGGGCGCACGGCGGGGAGGAGCGGGATCACCCCGGGGTGTCCCGGGGAGGAGACGGCAGAGAAGTGCCCCGAGGGATGGCCGGACACACCGGAGGGTCGGGGAGCACCGCGGGGAGGGGGGGGGGGGGTTGGGTTCCGGGCACATCGGGGGGGTCCGGGCGCACCCGGAGGCTGCAGCGGAGCCCGGAGCCCGCACCCCTGCCCAGGGCCCGGCAGGGGAGCGAGCCCCCCCGCACCACCCCCCCCCCCCCCCCGTAAGCCCCCCAGCCCCGGTGCCCCGGCCCAGCCCGCAGCGCTGCCCCGCCACCCCAACTCACCGTCAGGCCGGGAACCGCGTCGGGGACCGGCACCTGCAGCGCCCGCCCCGCCGAGCCGCGTCCCGCCCGGCAAAGTTTCGCTTTTCCGCCGAGCCGACCAAGTTTCGTTTCTGGGGCGTCACCGCCGCCGCCACCGCCCCCCGCCCGGCCCCGGCCCCGGCCCCGGCCCCGGCCCCGGCCCCGGCCCACCCCGCCGCGGTCCCGCCCTGCCGGGGTTGCCGGAGCCGCCCGGGCATCCCCCCGGCTACCGGAGGAGCGCAGCAAAGGGCTCCGCTCCCCCCGGGGCCGCCCCAACCTCGCCTGGTCCCGCTGCACCGAGAGGTTCCCGACAGCCCGGCCCGTTGCCGGGGGGGGCCCGGCAGAGGCTTTTCCCGGGGGCCAGTTCCAGCCCAGAGCGGGATGCCCGGGGCCCGGCCTGGAGCTCAGCCCCCTTCTCTTCCTTCTGAGCCCAGATTCAGCAGCTCCCAGCAAAGCCCCTCTTTTCTCCACTTTGGGCTGGTGGGGTTGAGACACAGCAACCCCCCCACCACTGCCTGGAGGGAAATGTCCCTCCGGCCACAATCGACCGCATCTTTTCCCCACCTGATCTCTGAGATGCTGCACAAACAGAGGCAGCAAATTGCCATAAACAGGCTCCCCGGGGTGCTGGAGCCGGGCTGGGCCAGCGCTGGGGGTGGCTGTGGGGTGTTTCACCCTTCTGTTAAATGCAGGTGCCCCCCCCCCCGGGCCAGTGCAGGGATGCGGGACAGGGCCTGGCAGCAGCAGTGGGGAGAGCAAGGAAAATCCATCGTGCTGGATCCAACAGGCAAAGGTTGATCCAACTGGGACCGAGCTGAACACGGGCTCCCAGCAGACCCGATCTTCACCAGCACTCACACATTTTGAGCACACACACTGTTTAGACACAATCGGCCCTTTTTACCCCCTTACCCCGCTCTTTCCCCCCTCCTGCTGCATCTCCAGGCTGGGGGTTACCTGAGCCCCTCCTGCCGTGTCCTCGCTGAGCAGCTCCCACGGCACGCAGCGCAGGGCCTGCAGCCAGATGCCACACGACGGGAAGAGAAACGGGTCAAATCTGCTCCGTCTCTGCGCTGGTCACTCCTGGTCTGGGGAGACAGACGGACGGATACGGACGGGGAGAGAAGGGCATGTGTGCCCTTCAGTTCTGCAAATGTTGATCTGCTGCCGGTGCAGCAAGGAACTCGCCGCCCAGCGCTGCTCCGCTGCAAAAACAAACACTCCTCCAGCCTCCAGCAGCCGCACCTGCGGGCCCTGGCAGTTTTGTGCCTCCCGGGCTCCTCAGCTGCCACTGCAAAACCCCCAAAACCTTTGGCAGGAGCTGTGCTGGTGCATACCTTCAGGCACTGAGCAACCAGGCAGCCCGAGTTTGGTTTCAGTTTCTTTTCCTTGGTCTGCTCAGCAGCAGCCAGAAATTAGAGTTTAATTTTTCCTTCCCACACAAAAGGAAAAAGCTTTCCCCAAAGGAAGGCAGAGATCATGCTGACTCATTTGGAATTACTGCTTTATTGTACCGTCCTTATGGGTGGGTGTCAGCAAAGGGCAGTTCAGGAAAACTGCTTTCTCCTGAACCCTGCCCCTGCCAGCCCTGCTGCCCGCCAGCAGTACTGTTTTTTGCACTCATTTTACAGCAAGGCAAGCCCAAGCTGGTGTCACTGTGCTTGTCCCCTTGGGTGCCTGGCAGGACTCAGGCGAGGGGCTGCACCCCCAGGGCGACAGTCCAGTCCTGCCCGATGGCAGCGTTTGGCAAAACACCACACAAACCAAGAGGGATCAGTACGGAGAAAAATCACCGATGTTTTTAATTTCCCAGCAGGCTGAGGTTGAGACCTGCAGCTGCCCTTGGGCTCAGAGTGCAGCACCAGCATCCTTGAAACTCGCTTTGACAAGAGTACACTCTGCGTCACAGTTCAGTACGCTCCAGAATAAGAAAAATCTCCAGAATTAAAACACGTGATTAAAAAAAGACAGCAGCTTCGGGGATGGGGAGGGCCTGGAGGAGGGATGGCTTTTTCCCAGTGACTGTGATAGGGAACCATTTTGCCCCGCTAATCCCTTCCACGCACTGCCTGCCCTTGGCCTGCAGAGCCGGCGAGGTGCCAGAGCTCCGGTGGGGCTGGGGAGCTGGTGTGGGAGCAGCCAGACCACTGGTCCCAGTGTCCCCACCAGCTCTGCCGCCCCTCACACCGCCCGCGTAGGGTTGGGCTGGTGCTGCTCTGCCCTCCCCGGCGTGGGACGTGGGGAGGGTCCCCCGACAGACACCCCACCCCGCTGCCCAGGAGGGCAGCGGCAGGCGGCTCCGGTGGAGGGTGTTGGTCGGATGTCACCGGGGAGGGGGGGTCACAGCCGCAGCTTTGTGCGGCATAGGACGCAGAGCCCCGGCGCAGTCGGAGGCGAGGAGGCGGCGACGCTGCCCCTGAGGTCCCAGGCAGCTCCTCGACTTACTGGATGAGTCCCGTGGGCAGCAGTGAGCTCTCGCTGGTGCTGGTGGGGGGGGCTGCCCCGCTGCCCCCCAGCTCCGCTCCTCCGCACCGCTCTGAGCCAGGAAGAGGGAGAAGCAGGACAGAGACTTAAGCCAAGGCTCGTGTCCTGGTTTCAGCTGGGATAGAGTTAATTTTCTTCCTAGCAGTGCTGTGCTTTGGCTTTAGGATGAGAATAATGTTGATAAGGAACTGATGTTTTAGTTGTTGCTGAGTAGTGCTTACACAGTCAAGGACTTTTCAGCTTCTCATGTTGCCCTGCCAGTGAGGAGGCTGCGGGTGCACAAGAATCTGGGAGGGGACGCAGCCAGGACAGCTGACCCCAACTGACCATATAACATCGTGCTGAACAAGAAAACTGGGGGGAGTGGGCCAGGGGGTGGTGGACCACTGCTTGGGGACTGGTTGGGCATCGGTCAGTGGGTGGTGAGCAATTGCACTGTGCATCACTTGCTTTGTACATTCTTTTATCATTATGATAATTTCCCCTTCCTTTTCTGTCCTATTAAACTCTCTTGATCTCAACCCATGAGTTTTTACCTTTTTTCCAATTCTCTCCCCCATCCCACTGCGGGGGAGTGAGTGTCTGTGTGGTGTTTGGCTGACAGCTGGCTTAAACCACAGCAGCTCGCCACGGATCCCCGAGGTCGGGGTGACCCTGCTCCCCGGAGGGGCCCCTGCTCACCTTCCCGGGAGCCAGGCCCCTGCAGCCCCCACCCTGCAGCTCTGGGGCACGGAAAAGGTCAGATTCCCAAGTTCATCTTCCAGAGCCCCTCTCAGCAGCAGCCTGGGGGACCCCAGCCCCGGGAGCGCACCCGGAGCAGCCCAGAGCCTCACCTGCCTCCTCCCGGCTGGGGAAATGCTGGAATCCTTCTAATCCTGCGGACAGCAGGACTTGGAGAACAGGGTCCTGAGGGTAGAGAAACCCGGGCTGGGGGCGTCTGCTGCTGGCTGCCTCCCGCTGTGAGCCCCCCCAGCCCGCCCAGGGCAGAGGACCCAGCCCTTCCCCTCCGCCGGGCTCAGATGCTGCAGCCCCCGCCTCTTCGAGGTGAAGGCGCTTTGAGATGATGAAGGTGCTACCAGAAGAGAGGCGGCCAGCGTGGGGAAGGCAGCAGGACTGGCCCGGGGCTCAGCCGAGGCTGCGTCCCACGTACCTGCAGCCTGCAGAAGGCCGGCGAGAGGCCGTGCTTGCGCAGCTCCTGCAGCAGCTCTGCCAGCCCCACCACCACCGTGTAATCGATGCTGCTGATGTGGCGACAGTCCAGGACGACGGAGCGTGGTGGAGAGGCTGCTGGAAGAAGAGCGTACGGTCGTGTCCCTGACGAGTCCAGAAATGACCAGCCCAGGGGACACAGCCCTTTGAGCCAGAGCCGTGGCTGGAAGGGGTGAGGGAGCCTTGGGGGAGCGGCAGCAGCCAGGGGCTGGTCCCCACTGTGCCGTCACTGCTTGCACCCGCAGCCTGCAGGTCTGGGCAGCGGTTGCCACCCCCCCCCAGAAGAGCTCTGGGTGGGCACCGGGTTACAGCCGGGTCCCACCGGGTCCCTGGGCTGGGGAGCACCGTACCTGCCAGAGCGTGGCTGCACACCGCGTCCCGGAGGTGCTCGACGGCTGGGAAGTGCAGGCTGCTCCCCGGCTGCACGAGGAGCACGTCCCCCTCCAACACCTGCACGAGACCCCAGTGCAGGGGGGCGAGTCACGGGGAGCTCGGGGCTGTGACCTTCCCCAGGCGGGGACCACTGCCCGTGCAACAAAGCAAAGCTTGAGGGGGACACGCGGGAGCCCCCATCCCTTAGGGAAACCCCCGCTCCTGCACACACCCGCTCCTGCTCTCAGCTCCTGGGACACTCCTTTCCTCTTTGAAAGGGGTCCCTGTGCTGTGCCAAGGGCAGGCTGGGGACATGGGAGAGGGCGGGAGAAGCACCCTGCACCCCAACACCCCGCTGCCCTCGGGGAGCCCGGCTGGCCCAGCCGCACCCACGGGGAGGTGTGAAACCCACCTTTATTGGGGGCCTGGCAATGGGGTAGAGCAGGAGAATCCCTGAGACCAGCACCCCGGCCACGATACCGTACTGGACCTCCCAGAAGCAGAGCAGGAACGTCGCGCAGAGAGGCACAAGGTCCAGCCCTGCAAGAAGAGACAACCCAGGCCCAGCTGCGCCTTGTCCTCGTGCCACAGGGCCCTCGGGGACAGCGCCTGCTCTGGGGGCTGTACCGGGGGATCGACCGCCCCCGGCTCCTGCCCTCACTCTTAACCCTCCAGAGCGTCCTGAAGATCCCAGCGTCAAACATGGGGACCACAGCCGAGATGATGACGGCAGCCAGCGCCGCTTTGGGGATGTAGTAGAAGAGCGAGGTGAGGTACGCCAGCGAGAGCAGGACCAGGGTGCCTGCGGGAGATGGGGAGCACCGGAGCACCCCAGCGCCCGGGGTGCCCGGGGGAAGTGGGCGCTGGGCGTGGGGACCGGCAGAGCAGCCCACGGCAGGGTTGGGGGCTCTACCTGTGACGAGCCCTCCCGCGGGGGTGCAGACACCCGACTGCGCGTTCACCGCTGTCCTGAAATGCAAAGCAACACGCCGTCCCGGGCCGCGCCGGGGCTGGCAGCTGCCCCCACCCGATGCCCAGAGACCCCACGCAGGAAAACCACCCACCTCGTCAGACCCCACCGGGGAGAAACACGAGCAAGCCAGCAGCTCCCAGCCCGCGGCGGGACCGCAGGGCACACGAGATGGGAGGGAAGGTCGCTGCATGACCCACACCCAGCCCGGCAGCCAAGGCGGGCAGCTGGGGACCGGGACACGAGCTCAGGAACCCACTGGGGTCCGCACAACCATCCACCCAAGATCTTGAAGACCCCCCTTCACCACACAACCCCACTGAGTGTCCTAGGGGCCGGGGCTCCGCTCCCCCTCCTGCTACCCACCGGCCAAAGCTGCCTGTGATGGGGTACGATGAGACGAAGGAGCCCAGGATGTTGGCGAAGCCTGCAGTGGGGAAGGAGAGGGGCTGGGGATGCAGCAGCTACGGGAGGCACCGCCCCGGTCCATGCCCCTGTGGTCACCTCCTCCACCCCTGGGCCGGTACCCAGGGCCAGAGCGGAGCCCGTCCCGCCGTGTGAGCTGGGCTCAGGCTGCTCTGGAAATTGCTGAGCTGTGAGGAAGGCTGGGGGTGGGGGCAGCACGCGAGATAAGAAAAGTAGAACTTCAGGTAGAGGTAGGACTGCTGAAATGCGGATTTCTGGTCGCTCAGGGGCTGTGGGACACAGGGCAGCGCTCAGGCCCCATCCCCACCTGCTGCCCTCCCCCTCTCAGCAACCTCTTACCCATAGCCAGCAGCTCCTGGTTGGGGTCAATCCTGTAATCGTTCTGCGAGGCTGAAAGGAGATGAGCGGCATCGCCCTGAGCTTCCCACAGGCACAACCTGCCACGCAGCGCCCGGGACAGCCGTGGGCCCCATCCCAGCACCCCCCGGGCACAGGAGCACCCCCAAAACAACACTCAGCTCCTGTGCAAACTTCGGCTGTGCACAATGCAGGACCCCCCAGCCTGCTCCCCGCTCAGGCACAGGGGAGCTGCATGGCCAGGGGAGAGGGTTGGCAGCACCCCACGGGACCCCTCCTGTCAGCCCACACTATGAACTGGGCTTGGCACAGTCCCTCCCACTGCCCTCATGGGAGCAGCACCCTCCCCGGCACCCCAAGCCCCCCGCAGAGACCCCTCCCGCGAGCGCAGGAGCCTGGTGCAGCCGTACCAAAAGCCTTGGCAATCGCAATGGTCTCCAGCAGGCCCATGAGCGGGACCACGGCCAGCCCGGCCCCCATGTCCTGGGAGGGAAGGACGCGGTGAGCGATGCCCCCGAGGGACGAGGGTCACCCCGCAGCGGAGCCTCCCCCCGCTGCGTGGGGAGCCAGCAAACGTGGGGGGTAAGGAGACGGCAGCCCGTGGGGAGCCCAGCCTCCGCCGGCCAGCCCGGCACCCACCTCCACCATGCTCTGGAAGGGGACGGTGCCGTTGGGTGCAGCCATGGAGAAGCGCGGCGGGCGGAAGGCGGGGAGGCCATGGGGGATGCTGCCGGTGAGCGTGAGCGGCTGGGAGCCCGTCACCTGGAAGGAGTAAGCAACCAGGCCAGCAAACAGGACGACGAGGGCGTTGCGTGCTGCAGCGGAGAGAGCAACTGTGAAAAGCTGCCTGGAGGCCAGGGCGGCAGGAGGGGCGGCGGGAGGTGGGTACCGGGGCTGCTGAGGTCTCCCGGGCCTTACACAGCGGCAGGACATGCCTGGGACTTTGTCCTCCCCGACCCACCTCCAGGTCTCAGCTCCTGCCGACCGGGGCTTTACCACTTTTGGGCTGTCTCTTCCCCGCCCCGGAGAGACGAGACCCCGGGAGGGATGGTGGCGGGAGGGGAGAGGGCAGGGGATGGCCAACGCACCCGTGGCGGAGGTCCAGACGATCAGGTAGCTGACCCTGGCAGCCAGCGGCTCCGCAGGGGCAGCTCGGGGCAGGCGGCTCTTCATCGCCCGGAGCCCTGCCAGCGCGGCCAGGCAGCCCAGCCCCAGGACGGCGTCCGCAGCCCTGCAACAGGCACCTCAGTGCCAGCCCAAAAGGCGCTGCGGGGGCACGGGGAGAGCTACCCCGTGGGCGTGCACGGCGGCTGGCAGGGACGCTGCCCGCACCTCCGCACCACCGCCAAAACGTGCCACCCCCCCGGCGGGGCAGCAGGAGAGGGAGGAGGGGGTCTCCCCCCAGTCAGCGGTACGTGTGGGCTCTTCATAAACAGGGAAGTTGGACCCCCGCGACAGGCAGGATCTGTGCAGCAGGGTCTGCTGCTGCCCCCCACAGCGAAGGGGTTTTGCCAGCCGTGATGGAGCAGACCCTACGTGTCACTGCTGTGTGTGAACCCCAGGCTGCGGCACAGACCCCCAGCCACGGGTGCAGCTAATGGGAGAGGACAGGGGGATGCCTGAGCTCCCTCCTGGACTGTCAAAAAATAGAGGCGTTAGGACACAGACAGTCCCAAGGATGTGCCTTTGGGCTGGCAAAATCCCGATGTACCTATCTAGGAGTAGACAGTAGGACAAGCGTGCTCCATCCTTCTCCTTTAGCAGCTTGGGAGCCCACATACTCCCCCCTCTTCAAACTTCCAGCTCAAATGGAAATGGCTGAGGACAAGCGCTTGTGTCACAGTGCTGGGCAGGGACCGAGAGATGAGTCTGAGGTGTGACCAAAGAGATGGGGAGCAAAGCAGAGGAGCCCGAGACCCCGCAGCTGCAGGGGGATGGAGCAGGGCAGGCGCAGGGACGGTGCTGACCTGGTCTCCCCGATCCTCCGCAGCATCTCATACGCCTGCAGGAAAAACTGCCGCGGGATCCCCTGCAGCCCCAGGATGTTCTGTGCGGGAAGACAAAGCCTGCTGGAAGCTCGGCACAACCTGAGCTGCCGGGTGCCACGGAGGGGCTGTCGGGAGCACCGGGGCTCAGCCCTGCCGTCAGCAAATTGTTGGTGCTGCGGGAGGGAGAGCTCCCCAGCCACCACCCGTGCTCCCGCACGCCTTCCAGGACTGCCCTCTCCCCACGTCCGTGCGGGCAGGGCTCAGAGACACCCTGATTTTTCCCCCTGCCTTCCCAGGCTCTGCGATGCCTCCACCCCATCCTGCATGCACGAGTGCACAGCTCCCGGGAGGGGGGTCAGTTTGGGGCCCCCGCTGTGCCCGCAGCCATTAGCCAACGCCAGCCCGCTGGTTCCGCACGCAGCCTGACACCATCTCCCGGAGTCTCTGATTTTGGTTAACCACAAAGGAAGCATTGCAGCTCCAGAAGAGCCGGGGGCCCTCAGGTCCCTGAGAGGCCAGCGAGGGACCGGCGGAGCTGTGAACCCACCGTGCCCAGGAATTGCCCAGCACCTCCCACAAGTGACCACAGCAAATGTCCCGGTTTTACCGGTGTCCTGAATGCCACCAGCTGGTCACAGGCAGAGAGGGCGTTCAGCTTGGTCTGCTCAGAGCAGCGCACGCAGGGACCCACCAGATCCGTAGGCAGGGTGGGGCCTGTGCCCCCTTTGGGGCTCCTTCCTCTCACAGCGAGCACACTGCCCAGCCCGGTGCGGAATACGCCGGCTCCGCAGCACGGCTCCGGGAGAGAGCGGGTGAGGCATCCAGAGCAAACCAGCAGAGCTTACCTTGACCTGGCTGAAGCTAATGGTGACGGAAGCAGCCGATGTAAACCCTTTAATGACTGGGCAGGAAATGAAGTCCAGGAGGAAACCTGCACGGGAGGGGTGGCAGTAAGCACGCTGCTGGCCGTGACGGGGAGCACAGGGTGTTTGCGTGCACACAGAGCTGTTAGCAGGACAACCCCAGTGCCTCAGAGAGCCCAGGGGAGGGAACGACTGCAGGATGTACAGTGATAACCCAAAAATACAACCACGGATGGCAAGAGCATCTCACCAAGGTGCAGGAGCCCCATGGCCAGCTGGATGCAGCCAGAGAGGAAGGCGAGCAGGACGGCATAAACAGGCTCGTGGAACGCGTAAGAAGAGACAAGCAGCGACATGATGGCTGTGGGACCCAGCGTCACGTCCTTGGCGGTGCCCAGGAAGCAGTAGACAAAGCAGCCCATGAAGGAGGAATAGAGGCCGTACTGCACGGGGACAAGAGGAGCACTGGCACAACACTCAGAGCTGGGACACGCCGGAGGAGGAGGAGGAGGACGAGGAGTGGGCTGCCCTCAGGTCCTGCCAGAGCCCGCAGCCAGCCCGCAGCAAACACTCAGTGGCTGCGGCTCCCAGCTCTGCTAGCCCCCAGGCAACGCTCGAGGAGGGGGGGCGCGGGCACCCCAAGCATCCCAGGCACCCCGGACACTCCAGGCACCCTGAGCACCCCGGGCACCCCAAGAACACAGGGCACCCTGAGCACCCCGGGCACCCCAAGAAACCAAGGGCACCCTGCACACTCCGGGCTCCCCAGGCACCCTGCACACCCCAGCCACCCCAAGAACCCCGAGCACCCTGCACACCCCAAGAACCCCGGGCACCCCAAAAACCCCGGGCACCCTGCACACCCCGGGCACCCCAAGAACCCCGAGCACCCTGCACACCCCGGGCACCCTGCACACCCTGCACACCCCGGGCACCCCGGGCACCCTGCACACCCTGGGCACCCCAAGAACCCTGGGCACCCTGAACACCCTGCACACCCCGGGCACCCTGCACACCCCGGGCACCCCAAGAACCCCGGGCACCCTGCACACCCTGCACACCCCGGGCACCCTGCACACCCCGGGCACCCGGCACACCCCGGGCACCCCAAGAACCCCGAGCACCCTGCACACCCTGCACACCCCAAGAACCCCGGGCACCCCAAGAACCCCGGGCACCCTGCACACCCCGGGCACCCCAAGAACCCCGGGCACCCGGCACACCCCGGGCACCCTGCACACCCTGCACACCCCGGGCACCCCGGGCACCCTGCACACCCCAGCCACCCCAAGAACCCCGGGCACCCTGCACACCCCAGGCACCCCGGGCACCCTGCACACCCCAGCCACCCCAAGAACCCCGGGCACCCTGCACACCCTGCACACCCTGCACACCCCGGGCACCCTGCACACCCCGGGCACCCCGGGCACCCCGGGCACCGCCACCCACCTGCAGAGGCAGCCCGGCCACCTCGGCGTACGCCAGCGCCTGCGGCACCACGGTGAGCCCCACGGTGAGGCCGGCGATCAGGTCGAGCTGCAGCCAGGCCAGGGAATAGCGCGGGAGCCAGCGCAGGACCGGCAGCCTCCTCCGCACCCCGGGGCACCGGCAGCTCCGCCGGGGAACCGGCACCGGCATGGCCGGGGCAGCGCTGGCCAGCCCGGCCGCCTCCAGCCCGCTGCCCGCCCCGGGGGAAGGCGGAGGGACGGCGGTGCGGGGCCGGGGCCGGGGCCGGGGCCGGGGCCGGGGCCGGGGCCGGGGCCGGGGCCGGGGCCGGGGCCGGGGCCGGGGCCGGGGCCGGGCGGGTCTCGGGGGGGCGGGGGGCGGCTCCACCGGGGCTGCGCGGGAGCTGCCGGGGCCGCCCCGTTCCCAGCCGGGCTCGGCGGCTCCGCCCGGGCCGGATCTGAGCGGCCGGGGCCGCCTCATGTGACCGGGGCGGAGGAGGAGCCGGGGCGGCCGGAGCAGCCGTCGAGCCCGGCCGGGGCCGCTGCCGGAACCGGGGCGGCTGCCGGGGCCGGGGCCGGTGCCATGCGGCCCTGGGCGCTGGTGCTGGTGCTGGGCGCGCTCCGCACCAGCGGGATCCCGGCCCGCAACGTGCTGCTGCTCCTGGGTGAGTGCGGCCGCCGGCCCGGCGGAGAACCGGAGCCGGTGCCCGGTCCTCGCCCCCCGCCCCGCGCCGGGGTGTCCCTGTCCCGGGGAGGGACCCGCTGCATCCCCTCTGCTGGGACGGTCCCGCAGCCCCGGCCCCAGCCCGGGTCATCCTCAGCCTCGCCGTTATTCGTGTTCCCTGGGCTTTGCCCCCCCCCCCCCCGCCCCGTTTGGGGACACACGGGGGGCAGCCCCGGGGCTCACCCCGCACCCCTCCCGCCGCAGCGGACGACGGTGGCTTTGAGATCGGTGCCTACAACAACTCGGCCATCCGGACGCCCAACCTGGACGCGCTGGCCCGGCGCAGCGTGATCTTCCCGAACGCCTTCACCTCCGTCAGCAGCTGCTCCCCGAGCCGGGCCAGCATCCTGACCGGCTTACCCCAGGTACTGGGCACCCCCACGCACCGGCGCGGGGGCTGCCAGCCCACGGGGGGCACCTGGGAGGGGGGGGAGGGGGGTGACCAGAGCCAGCGCGGTCACAGGACCTGGCAATCCGCCCCCCCTCCCCGTGCCCACTGAGCCCCCGGGGACCTGCTGCCCACCACGGGGCTGGCAGACCCTGTCCCGGCCGTGTTGTCTCTCCCCACCTGCAGCACCAGAACGGGATGTACGGGCTGCACCAGGACGTGCACCACTTCAACTCCTTCGACAGCGTGCGGAGCCTGCCCCAGCTGCTCGGCCACGCAGGCGTCCGGACAGGTGGGGAGCCCAGGGCGAGCGACACGGGCAGGGAACCCCCCCTCTGCGCACCGAACCCCAGCGGGTGACAGCGTGGCGGCTAACCTGCCCGCCGCTCCTCTGCCATCCCCATCACACCTCCCTTGCACTTCTAATCCTCATCCTGCTCCTTCCTGGCTCCCAGTTTCCCAAGTTCACACAAGGGTCGTGCTCGACCCAAACTTCCTCCCGTCCGCGTTCTCGCAGGGATAATTGGGAAGAAGCACGTTGGGCCCGGGGCTGTCTACCCCTTCGACTTCGCCTACACGGAGGAGAACAGTTCGGTCCTGCAGGTTGGGAGAAACATCACTCGAATCAAAGCGCTCGTGCGGCAGTTCCTGCAGAGCCAGGATGAGAGGTGAGACGGGCCCCGAGTCCCTGGGGAGGGCTGCGAGGGGGCACGCGGGGGGAGCGGGAGACCGGCCTCGCTGCGGACGTGTCTCCATGTCCCAGCTGGTCACAAATAGGAAGGGACAGCTTGTGTCCAGGCCACCCCGTAGCCAGAAGCCCAGATGAGGTGGGAGCCCTTCCACTGACCCCAGCTCACCCCTCCAGAGCCCAGGGAAGGTCTCGGGGGGCGTGGGCAGCCCCCTGCTACACCACCCCCACCCTCTCCACCCCCAGGCCTTTCTTCCTCTACGTCGCCTTCCACGACCCGCACCGCTGCGGGCACTCCCAGCCCCAGTACGGGGCCTTTTGTGAGAAATTCGGCAACGGAGAGAGGGGCATGGGCTGGATCCCCGACTGGAAACCACAGCTCTACCGCCCGGAGGAAGTGCAGGTGGGAGCCTGTGGGGCTGTGGGGGGCCATATGGGGCTGCGGGGGGCTATATGGGACTGCATAGGGCTATATGGGCTTGTGGGGGGGCTATATGGGACTGCATAGGGCTATATGGGGTTGTGGGGGGCTATATGGGACTGCATAGGGCTATATGGGGTTGTGGGGGGCTATATGGGACTGCATAGGGCTATATGGGGTTGTGGGGGGCTATATGGGACTGCATAGGGCTATATGGGGTTGTGGGGGGCTATATGGGACTGCATAGGGCTATATGGGGTTGTGGGGGGCTATATGGGACTACATAGGGCTATATGGGCTTGTGAGGGGCTATATGGGACTGCATAGGGCTATATGGGGTTGTGGGGGGCTATATGGGACTGCATAGGGCTATGTGGGGTTGTGGGGGGCTATATGGGACTGCATAGGGCTATGTGGGGTTGTGGGGGGCTATATGGGACTACATAGGGCTATATGGGCTTGTGAGGGGCTATATGGGACTGCATAGGGCTATATGGGGTTGTGGGGGGCTATATGGGACTGCATAGGGCTATGTGGGGTTTTGGGGGGCTATATGGGACTACATAGGGCTATATGGGGTTGTGGGGGCTATATGGGACTGCATAGGGCTATATGGGGTTGTGGGGGGCTATATGGGGCTGCATAGGGCTATATGGGGCTGCATAAGGCTATATGGGGCTGCATAAGGCTATATGGGGCTGCATAAGGCTATATGAGGCTGAGTGGGGCTATATGGGGCTACATGAGGCTATATGGGGCTGAGTGGGGCTATATGGGGCTGTGTGGGGCCATGGCTGGCCCCTACCTCAGTCACTGCCATCAGCGTTACAGGCGAGAGATGGCGAAGGCCACCGTGGTGTACCCACGCCCTCCTTCCCCATGGCAGCCACGTGCCACTTTCCCCGTCTCCGTTTAGGTCCCCCACTTTGTTCCAGACACGCCGGCGGCCCGGGCGGACCTGGCAGCCCAGTACACAACCATCGGGCGCCTGGACCAGGGTAGGAGCCGCGGGGGCCGGGCTGGCACCGGCGAGGGCTGCGGTCCCTCCCACCCCCCCCTGAGCTCTGCCCCTCCATCCCCAGGGATCGGGCTGGTCCTGGAGGAGCTGCGGCGCGCCGGCTTCCACAACACCACGCTGGTGATCTACACCTCCGACAACGGCATCCCCTTCCCCGGCGGCAGGACCAATCTGTACCGGTCGGGCACCGCCGAGCCCCTGCTGATCTCCTCCCCCGAGCACACCGAGCGCTGGGGGCAGCTCAGCCAGGCCTTCGCCACCCTCCTGGGTAAGAGCCCGTGCCCCCCGGGAGGGAGCAGAGGCGTGCAGAGCGGTGCCCGGGGGGGCACGAGCCGGTCCCCATGCCGAAAGCCAGGGTCTTGTCCTGGAGGAGAGCCCGCACAGCCGGCCCCGGGCAGGGAGAGGAGGGAGGACAGAGCCGCGGGGTCCCGGGGCTCAGTCCCAGGACCACCCCCAGCAGACCCCGGGGACCCTTCTGCCCCTCTCTGGGGTTGAGTTTCCTCCCCGGGGCGCCAGCCTCTCCTCTCACCCTTCTCTTCCCCTCCAGATCTGACGCCGACCATTTTGGACTGGTTCTCCATCCCCTACCCTTCTTACAGCATCTTTGGCCCGAAGCGGGTGCAGCTCACCGGAAAGTCCCTCCTGCCAGCGCTGGAGTCGGAGCAGCCCTGGGCCACCGCCTTCAGCAGCCAGAGCCACCACGAGGTGACCATGTACTACCCCATGCGAGCCATCCAGCACCGGCAGTTCCGCCTCATCCACAACCTCAACTACAAGATGCCCTTTCCCATCGACCAGGACTTGTACGTCTCGCCCACTTTCCAAGACCTGCTCGACCGCACCAGGGCCGGGCGGCCAACCCACTGGAACAAGACCCTGCACCAGTACTACTACAGGGACCGCTGGGAGCTCTTCGACTGCAGCCGTGACCCCACCGAGAGCCAGAACCTGGCCCCCGACCCCCGCTACGCCGCCGTCTTCCAGCTGCTTCGCGCGCGGCTCTTGCAGTGGCAGTGGGACACGGGTGACCCCTGGGTCTGTGCCCCCGACGCTGTCCTGGAGGAGAAGCTGAGCCCCCGGTGCCAGCCGCTGCACAACGAGCTGTGAGCGTCCCCTCTGCCCGGCCTCCCCCACTGCCACGGGACAGCCCCACGCTGCCGTCGGGCACGAGGGGGTCAGTCCCAAATCCCCGGGTGACACCCCCGAGGTTCTGCTCTCTGCGTTGCCAACACCGCCCAGCCCTGGAGCATTCGGGGATGCTCCAGTCTCGGCCAGAGGAGCTCTAGGGCCGAGTTGCCCCCCAATAAAGCCTCCGGAGGAGAGGTCTGCGTCCCCGCCGGCTCCTGGCGCCGCGGTGTCCGGGCAGCACTGCCTGCTGCCAGCCCTGCTGCGGAGGGGCGGCTGCTCGCCCCCCCCGGGGAAACGGCCCAGCGGGTACCAGCAAGGAGGGCGCAGCTTAATTTCACAAAACACACAAAGTGCCCAGAGTCCCCGAGGTGCGCAGGGCCCGGGGTGACGGCGTCTGCTCCCTCCCTGCGCCGCAGGGCGGGGCTGGGGCTGGCAGCCCCCCCCCCCGGGGCAGCAGTCCTGGGGCTCAGAGCCAGCGGGACGGACGGGGCTGCGGGAGCAGCCGGGGGTCCCCTGACGCTCTGGGAAATGGGGTGAAACCTTCAAGGGGCACAGGTGGTCCTGCTGGAGCCCCCAGGCAGGGATAGAGCTGGGGGGGGGCTGAGCCAAGGCTCAGCAGCATTTCAGGACAGACATGGGCAGAGAGGGGCACAGAGACGGCCGGGGGCTGCTGCCAGCAAACAGCAACTTTATTGACAGCACTGCTCCCTCACCCCCCCCCCCCCGCCCCGTGGGGATCCCCCCTGAAACACAGCCAGGAGACCCCCTGCAGCCCCTCAACAGGTTACCAGTTCCACATGTTAACAGGTTTGCTGTCTCACAAGGCACTTGGGTCTTTTTTTCCCCACTCTGGAGGAAATGAGGGTTTCCCCGTCCCCAGGGGGTGTGCATGCCCCCCCCCAGCCCCATGCAAGTCCAGTGTACACATCGC